CCCTTCTCTGCCCCCCCTCCCTCGCTCGCCCTCTCCCTGTCTCCCACCTCCTCTGTGGCCCCTCCCCTCCTGCCGCTCTGCCTGGAGCTGGGCGCGCTGGGGGAGTCCGACGGGGTGAAGGAGGAGTCCCGGTCTGAGGAAGAGGAGCTGGATGAGCGGACTGATGATGATGATGAAGGCAGTGCCCCCCCCACCAAGCTGGTCCTGCTTCAGGTGAGTCGGGTCCCGCTGGGACTACTTCCTGAGGCCGTATCCTTCCTCTCACCCCGTCTCTCTGACTCCTCCCATTCAGACAAGCCACGCCCCCTCCAGCCCGTCTCCTAGGCAACACACAGACAGTGGCTCCGCCCCCCTCCTGCTGGCCTCCCAGGATCGGCCAGGTGAACCATCCCAGCCCACCAATCAGACGCCGGCACCGCCTGGAGGGCAGCAGCCATTGGTCCTGCCGTCGTCCAATCAGCTGCCCGGACCTGAAGCTCCGCCCCCTGCTGAGAGTTCCCATCAGCACCTGGAGCTGCTGTCAAGCTCGGCAGCTGTTGCCATGGAGACAGCCTCCCTAGCAACGGTCCAGGTGAAGGAGGAGAGGAGGCGGCGCTACGACTCTGAGGACGCCTGCATGGACAGCCAGGAGGAGGCGGAGCCTGAGGAGCTGGACATCTCCTTCGACAGCCAGTTCCCCGACCTGATCTCTGACCTCATCACCGATGAGCCGGGCCCCGCCGCCGCCCCTCCGGCTCCGCCCAGCGCATCGGGTCCGGCCGTGTTCCCCACCGGCGTCCGCTACGTGGTTCCGCCGCAGCCGTCGCCGTCCTCCTCCTTCCTGCCGTTCCCCCAGCCGCTGCCCGCCGCCGCCCGCCTGGCCGCCATCACAGACTTCTCCCCGGAGTGGTCCTACCCAGAGGTGAGCGTCCTGCACGGGGGGACCGGTCCCAAGGTTCTGGTTCCGGTCCCAGCAGCTGTTCTCTGTGCAGGGCGGAGTGAAGGTTCTGATCACCGGGCCGTGGAGCGAGCCGTCGGGTCGGTACTCCTGCGTGTTCGATCAGAGCGCCGTCCCCGCTTCCCTCATCCAGCCCGGGGTTCTGCGCTGCTACTGCCCAGGTACTGACCGCTAACGGGCCGGTCCGGTTCCACGGGGGGGCGGCCGGGTCCACGGGGGGCGGTTTGGCAGGTCCAGACTGTCTTTTCCTCCAGACCCTTTGGACGTCCTGGATGAGGATCTTTAAATCATCTGGGTTCCGACCGACCCGTCTGTCTCTGGGTTCTGACCGACCCGTCTGTCTCTGGGTTCTGACCGACCCGTCTGTCTCTGGGTTCTGACCGACCCGTCTGTCTCTGGGTTCTGACCCGTCTCTCTCCTGTGTTCCAGCCCACGAGGCTGGCCTGGTGTGTCTGCAGGTTCTGGAGTCCGGTGGGTCGGTGTCGTCGTCGGTTCTGTTCGAGTACAGAGCGAGGAACGCCAGCTCTCTGCCCAGCTCCCAGCTGGACTGGCTCTCATTGGACGGTCAGTACCTGCTCTTCCTCACCCTCCTCTTCCTCCTCGCTCGTGCCAACACCATGCCTGACCTGCAGGAGGCGCTGCTGGTCCAGGAGCAGGTTCTGCTGTGGTTCTGGTTTGGTTCTGATTGTTGGTCCGTGTTTGGTGGAAGCAGCCATGTTTCCTTCAGACCAATAGGCGGTTTGTCATCAGCTGGACTCTCCGTTCCAGCTGCTCACCTGGTTACCATAGTAACCAAGGTGAGCTCAGAAACTTCAGTATCCATAGTAATCTGGTTACTAACTATTTTAACTTGATTAAACAACCTGGCTAACTTTGGGGATGTTGGTCACTATTTTAGATTCAGTGAGCTGATTAACTTCAGTTACCGTGGTAACCGGAGTGACTTCAGTTACCATGGTAACCTGAGTGACTTCAGTAGTCTGAGTATTTTCCAAGCTGGTCGAAGCGGTTCTGGACTAGATGATCCTCTCAGGATCATCTAGTCCAGTAGTCCAGCCTGCCCTGTAGAACTGGACCGGTCCCGGCTTCAGCTGCAGGTATCAGCCGGTCACCATGACGACCACGGGCCCCATCAGCCCGATTCACTGGATGCTGGTCCCAGTCAGTTGATGCTTACGGTTTGATGGCTCTACTGCCCTTCCTCATCTTCTTCATCAGGAGGAAGAGCAGCAGCTTCACCTGGTCTTATCTGGACTCAGAACCAGAACCGCAGCTGACCCAACAGAACCAGCTGTGGTTTTATTTCTGTCCAGGAGGGATCAGAGCAGCTGCTAGCAGGGAGTCCCCTGTGTGTGTGTGTGTGTGTGTGTGTGTGTGTGTGTGTGTGTGTGTGTGTGTGTGTGTGTGCGTGTGTGTGCGTGTGTGTGCGTGTGTGTGTGTGTGTGTGCTCTGCAGGTCACACTGGATCAGTCTATATTTGGCCTCTGCTTTTATTTCCTGAACAGAGAGAGAGAGAGCCAGGCGGTGGGCGATCGAAGTCAGTCAGATAGTTTCCATCTGAGACAGAGTGTGTGTGTGTGAGTGTGTGTGTGTGTTATGTGTGTGTGACCCTCTTTACACTGATCTCTGCTGGTCAGAGCTGCTGACGGCTGCCTGCTGCTGATTGGCTCTGGCTGAGATCCAAGCAGCTGATTGGCTGAGCTTTGATCCACATTCTGATCACCTGTCGGCCTCCTGCTGCTCCTGGTGCATTGTGGGTAGTGTACGAGGAGCTTGGGGCTGTCCTGGTTGTAAGCGTGTTCAGTTTCAGCAGCGCAGCGAAGGAGACGGAGCTGCTGCTGTTGGAGGAGCCTCTGTGGGCGGAGCTTCTGTGGGCGGAGCCTCTGTGGGAGGAGCCTCTGTGGGCGGAGCTTCTGTGGGCGGAGCCTCCGTGGGTGGAGCCTCCGTGGGTGGAGCCTCAGCCTCACACACCTGCTCTCTCCTCCTGCAGACAACCAGTTCAGGATGTCCATCCTGGAGCGGCTGGAGCAGATGGAGCGCCGGATGGCGGAGATGGCGGCTCGGGACGGCCTTCATCATCATCATCATCAGCAGCAGCAGCAGAGTGGGAACCAGCTGGCCACGCCCCCTCCTCTACCTGATGACCAGCAGCAGGTAGGTCCGGTCCAGTTTACTCTGTGGTTCTGGTTCCTGTCCAGACAGCAGGTCCAATCCGACCTGCTGCAGGTTCTTCAGGTTCTGGTTCTGCTGGCTCCTCTGGACTCAGTCCAGTCTGTCAGCTGGTTGCGGTTCTGAGCTGCTGGTTCTGGTTCTGAGGTTCTGACCCGGCTGCTGGTTCTGGTTCTGCAGCTCTGGCCCGGCTGCTGGTTCTGAGGCTCAGGCCCGGTTCTGGCCCGGCGGTGGCTCCGCCCCCTCTGGCTGATGTCATGGGATTTTGTCAGATGGAGTCCAGGAGTTAAAATAGCCGCGGTGAGACGGAGAGGACTTGGACCTGGACCAAAACAACTACTGCTGGTCCTCAGAGGGTTTCCTCTGAAGGTTCTGACCCAGACCGGACCCGGTCGGCAGAACTCTGACTCTGAGCAGAACCGGGCCAGAGGAAACTGTTCCTAGAAAGCAGCAATAATCCTTTTAAAGCAGCTAAATCTGGAACCAGCTCAGTGCCAACGTCAGTCCTCAGGCCGCGGGTCAGAACCTTCAGAACCGCCCACAGGGTTTCCCCCAGAAAACCCACTCAGCCCGGTGGTCGGGGTGCCGAGGCGGTCCACCGGCGGTCCACCATGACTTTGTATTAAAAGATGTTAAGTAGACAGAAAATGTAAAAATATTACTGGGTTTTTATATGTTATGGGAAAACATCATCAGTGAAACGCTGCTTAAACCCACAACTGGTTTTAAAAACAACAAATCAAAAATAAATTGAATTTCAATTATTTAATCCAAATTAAGTCAGCGGCTCCATCAGGGCCCCGGAGCTTCAGGGGCCATAAATGCTGATATTTTAACAAAGTTACATGAATGTAACATTTATTTATTGAGATGATCAATGATGATAAATTTGATTTAATGGTTTCAGCATAAATAAAAATATAGTTTAACATTTAAATTTAAGATTTTAAGGATCTGGCAAGTTTAGTTTGTAAAACTTCAAAGAACAATATTCATAGTTAGATTGGTTTGTTACCAAACCTGTTACAATCTGATGCTGTGAGTTTAATCTTTAAGTTTGAGCTGTTTGTTCACAAATACAAATCATCCTCACCGCTCCTCTGAAAGCGACTGCAAGTTATTCCTGTGGTTCACGTAGAGCTGTGCAACCAGAGCAACATGGTGGGTTTAAACTCCTACCCTGAATTTTTCTAAAAACAAGCAAAGCTTAGCCTGGCGGGGGGCCTAGTAAAGCATGGCGGGGCACCAGGCTTATAATACACTGGGGAAACCCTGACCCAGGTACCGAACCGTCACCTGGTCCTGAAATGAACCAGATCATCATAAATCATCAGCTCAAAGAGGCTCCAGCCAGAGACCGGTTCTGGGAATCAGAAACCAGTCCAGTATAGGTCCAATATGGCTGACTGGTTCCAATATGGCTGCCATCCTGGACTCCAACTATCCAGTATGGTTGTTACAGGGGTTGCTGCATTGCTGGACGCTCCCCCTACCCTGAGGCCGACAGCTGCAGGCGGGTGGAGGCAGCTGGGTGGAGGTGCGGCCTGGTGGCAGCTGGGTGGAGGTGCGGCCTGGTGGCAGCTGGGTGGAGGTGCGGCCTGGTGGCAGCTGGGTGGAGGTGCGGCCTGGTGGCAGCTGGGTGGAGGTGCGGCCTGGTGGCAGGCCGTGTTGTTCGCTCTCTGGCTCAGCAGCTCCGAGTCACGCCGGGTGACTCGGAGCTGCTGGGGGCGGGGCAAGCAGGTCAGATGACCTGGAACGACGGCGGTCGCCATTTTATCGGCCTGATGCCAGGAAGTTCCTCCATCGGCGTCTGACGGGACGGGTCAGTCGGCTGCCCAGTGACTGGTCTCTGTTCCTCCCAGTGTTCCCAGTGGTTTGAGAGGAGGATCGTTGGTGTGTGTGAGCGGATGATGAGAGGAGCGTGCTGGGGAGGAAGAGGAGGAGGAAGAGGAGAGAGCCTTCGTCACTCGGCCGGTCACCGTGGGATGACGCTGCTGCACCTGGCTGCTGCCCAGGGCTACACCCACCTGATCCACACCCTGATCCACTGGAGGTAAGGCAGCCGGGCCGTCCTGGCTCCGCCCACACGATAACGTCATGTCCTGTCTCAGGATGATGTCACTTCCTGCAGGGCGATGAGCAGCGACAGTCTGGACCTGGAACAGGAAGTGGACCCCCTGAACATCGACCACTTCTCCTGCACGCCGCTGGTAAGCCCCCGCCTGACTGCCGGTCGCCGTGGCGGTGTTGCCGTGGTGACCGGGCGCCCTGTGCGTTCCAGATGTGGGCGTGCGCCCTGGGCCACCAGAGGGCAGCAGAGCTGCTGTACAGCTGGAACGGCCTGGCGCTGGGCATCCCCGACTCGCTGGGCCGCCTGCCGCTCGCCGTGGCGCGCTCCCGTGGCCACACCCGCCTCGCCGCCGCACTGGAGGAGCTGCACACACAGCGCTCTCAGGCGGCCACCAGGGACGGGCCGCCGCCGTCCCCTCTGTCCACCAGCCTGGACACAGGTAGCCCCGCCTCCTGCTGTCACCTGACCTCATCCAGCTCTCTGATTGGCTGTAAGCATCTCCTGTCTCCTCCAGGTCTCAGCTCCTCCAGCAGTCTCCCCTCACCCAGCGACCCGTCCTCGCCGTCCCCCAGCTCCGCCTACTCCAGTGGCCCCGCCCCCATGGACACCTCCCCCTCGTCTCCATCATCGCTCTCCTCTTCCTCGCTGTCCATCTCTCCTTCTTCCCCGTCCTTCATTCAGTCCACCGTTCCCTTGGCGTCCATGTGGAGGGAGGAGCCTAACCCGACTGTCAGCACAGGTAACCCTGGTAACGCTGCTTCTTCACCGATTCCCAGTCAGAGCAGTGTGACGATGACTGACCTAATCTGGATCAATCTGGTTCAGTTTGGTCCTGTTCACTGAAACATGAAAGGAAACGGAGACCAACAGAGGGCTAGGCTAGCCTGGGAGGCTAACAGGGTGCTAGCCTGGGAGGCTAACAGGGTGCTAGCCTGGGAGGCTAACAGGGTGCTAGCTTGTGAGGCTAACTGAGCGCTAGCTTGTGAAGCTAACAGAGGCCTAGGCTAGCCTGGGAGGCTAACAGGGTGCTAGCCTGGGAGGCTAACAGGGTGCTAGCCTGGGAGGCTAACAGAGTGCTAGCCTGTGAGGCTAACAGAGTGCTAGCCTGTGAGGCTAACTGAGCGCTAGCTTGTGAGGCTAACTGAGCGCTAGCTTGTGAGGCTAACTGAGCGCTAGCTTGTGAGGCTAACAGAGGCCTAGGCTATCCTGGGAGGCTAACAGGAGGCTAACAGAGGCTAACAGGGTTCTAGCTTTGAGGCTAACAGAGGCTAACCCCAGCCTGACGTTCTGAGTGCAGACAGCAAACTGCGGTCTTCTGTCCGTCTGTCCTCACCGTGACCTTTGCTCCTTGGCTGATGACCCAACAGGACGCTGGTCCTCCATGTTGTTCTCAGTCTAACAGGTTTATTTTTCCTGCAGGTTATTATGGGATGTCTTTACTGGGTTTATACATAGATGATTGAATCTAAAATGTCAAAAGGGAAGTTTTTAGGTGCCAGCTCCTAAAGGTGAAAGCTCTGACCTCTGTCCCAGGTTTAACCGCCAGCGGCTCCAGAGACCTGATGGACTACAAGAACGCCCCGCCCACAGACACGCCCCCTCAGAGCGCGGGGCGGCGGGCGCTGCTGGAGGAGCAGCTGCTGAGCTACGGCGAGAACGCCGAGAATGAAGGAGAGGAGGAGGAGTACCTGGAGGACGAGGTGCTGCAGGTAGGCCAGAGCTCCAGGTGCAGGTCGTCATGGCGACCGGGCTGACCTAACAGAGCCGCTCTGCCCGGCAGGTGGACATGGCGACGCTGGCGGAGCAGATCATCGAGGCGACGCCGGAGCGAATCAAACAGGAGGATTTCCCCCGGGGGGCGGAGTCTCCGCTCAGAGAGAGGCGGGACAACCCGGCCATCCAGGACACCTGGTTGGCCACCTACCTGGAGACGGTGGACAGCCAGTCCCCGCCCAGGTGAGCCTGATGGAGCTGGACCCGAACCGGAACCAGAACCAGAACCAGAACCAACAGCTCTGTGTTTCTGCTGCAGGCGGGTCTGCCCCCCCTCGCCGCTCAGCGCTCTGGCTCTCCAGAGGCTCCGCCCCCCGTCGTCCGCGGCGTGGGCGGAGTTCCTGAACGCCTCGGCCAATGGGAAGATGGAGAGAGACTTCGCTCTGCTGACGCTGACGGACGGCGAGCAGAGGGAGCTGTACGAGGCCGCCCGCATCATCCAGAACGCCTTCCGCCGATACAAGGTAACCATGGCAACGGCCTGAGCAGGACTCGCTGCCCCCTGCTGGCCTGATGGACGCATTACGACTCTGTGTGTGTGTGCAGGGTCGAAGGTTAAAGGAGCAGCAGGACATGGCGGCCGCCGTCATCCAGAGGTGCTACAGGAAGTACAAACAGGTGTGTGCAGCTGATGGGTGTGCTTTCAATAAACTTTATTTAAAAAGAGACAGTGTGCAAAAAAATCCTAAATGTTCAGCATTTCTGTGTGTGTGTGTGTGTGTGTGTGTGTGTGTGTGTGTGTGTGTGTGTGTGTGTGTGTGTGTGCGCGTCTCCTCCACTAACGTCACTAACCTGCTGTCTCTCTCTCTCTGGTTAGCTAACATGGATAGCTCTGAAGGTAACCAGCTGACAGTAGCTGTAGTGGTGTGTAGGCAGTGTGTGTGTGTGTGTGTGTGTGCGTGCAGCTGGCCGGGTCTCAGATGTTTGTTCATCAGAACCAGGTTCAGACCTTACCTGACCCTGTGACTCCGCCCCCTGCAGTACGCGCTCTACAAGAAGATGACCCAGGCGGCCATCTTGATCCAGTCCAAGTTCCGGTCGTACTACGAGCAGAAGCGGTTCCAGCAGAGCCGGCGGGCCGCCGTGCTGATCCAGCAGTACTACCGCAGCTACAAGGAGTACGAGAGGCTGAAGCAGGCGCCACGAGGGGGCGCCGCACTCAACCCCAAGAGCAAGTAAGGCGGCACCGTCCCAGGGCGGCATCCTGGGAGGGGGGCGTCTGGGAAGGGGGGCGTCTGGGCTAGGCGGTGCAGAGAGGGGAGAGACCAGCTGGGACCTAACAACCTGGTAACAAGCCTGACCCGAAGACGAGTCGGTCTGACCCGGAGTCGATGGTTTAACTAGTAGAGACTCGTATGTCGTTTGACAAACCAGTTAATGACACGAGTCCATGACTGACCAAGTTCCAAGTTGTTCAGACTTGAATCATATCGTTTTTACTTAAACTATTTTTACAAGTTAAACATCATGGACTTGGTCTCAGTAGAGTCCGAGTCCAAGTCTCACCCCGAGTCCTGCTGAGGTTTAGACTCGTTGTGTCTGAGCAGTTCCTGGTTTGTCCAGCAGGGGGTCGTTCCTGACGAAGAAGCAGGACCAGGCGGCCCGGAAGATCATGAGGTTCCTGCGGCGCTGCAGACACAGGTCAGGCAGAGGAAGTGACATCATGACCCGTCCTCATGATGTCACTTCCTGTAACGGCTGCTGCTGTTTCTGCAGGATCAAAGAGCTGAAGCAGAGCAGGGAGCTGGAGCGGAGAGGACTGACCACGTAGAGGGACGGAGAGACGGAGGACAGGAGGACAGAGGGACGCAGGAGCAGAGAGGACTGACCACGTAGAGGGACAGGAGGAGGACAGAGACACAGAGACGTGCTGTCCTGTCCCTCAGGACTCGGTCTCCCACTGCTCTGTCTGGTTCTAGTCCGAGTCTTTGTGGACCGGTGTGTGCGTTGGAGCGGCGCCTGACAGACACAGCGTGGGGCACAGCCGGCCCATCAGCTCTGCTAGCTCTCCTCTGATTGGTCGCTCTGAAGTATTGACCTTTGACCTTTCAGACAAGTCACAGCTTCTTCTATTTAAACCCATAATAGAGAGTAGAGACGCTTCTATTTATTACAGCATGAACTGTGTGTGTGTGTGTGTGTGTGTGTGTGTGTGTGTGTTTTGCACTGACTGAAGTCTTACCCCCCCTTTTACCTCCCAGCTGCTTTTGTAAATCCAGCTGTCAAGCAGAGACTGAAGGAAGCAGCGTCAGAACCAGGACCAGACCCTGGACCAGGTTCTGGTTCTGGTCCAGGTTCTGGTCCAGGTTCTGGTTCTGGTCCAGGTTCTGGTTCTGGACCAGGTTCTGGTCCAGGTTCTGGTTCTGCTCAGTCCGGCCTGCAGCCTCCAGTCTCTGTCCTTCAGCCATTGCAGTGAATCTTTGCACGACTTCCTGTTTCCTGTTTGTTCTGAAAACGAGACGTGAAGTTCTGACAATAAATCAGCTGATTGCTCCTCAAGTCTCATTGGTTCCTGCTCTGACAGAACCTCTGACCCGTCTGAGGTTCTGTCCTCCATCTTGGGGTTTCTGGTCTGTTTTTCTTCCATATTTTGGTTCTTTGATCCGAACTCGTCTGCAAGGCTGGAGAACAGAACCTGAAACTGGGCTCAGTCGAGTCCAGGACTCGGATCCGGACCTGGCAGAGGGACAGGAGTCCAAGAACAAGTCAGAACCACCAAGTGAGTAAAAGTTTGGGTAACACTTTATTTGAAGGGGGTTGAATAAGACTGACATGACACTGTCATAAACATGACATAACACCTGTCATGAACATGAATAAGCCTTCATGAATATTTATGACTGTTGTCATAAAGCGTCATTCGATAAATTATGACACTTTTAATACAAAGTTGACATTATTCAAAATGTCTTTGTTATGACAACTTGTCATTAACCAATAAACCATTACTGTTTAAACTTTACATTTAATAACATAAAGTTACCTGATTTTTAAAGTGCAATCAGTAAAACTTTTATAACAAATTTATATCAGTAATTATTTCTTGGTTAATGTCAAGTTGTCATAAAGACATTTTGAATAATGTCAACTTTGTATTAAAAGTGTCATAATTTACCGAATGACACTTTATGACAACAGCCATAAATATTCATGAAGGCTTATTCATGTTCATGACAGGTGTTATGACATGTTTATGACAGTGTCATGACAGTCTTATTCACCCCCCTTCAGATAAAGTGTTACCAAAGTTTGTTTGTTCCATCAGAAACCAGGAAATAAACCGTAATGGATCCATAAAGGGTTAAAGTCGTTTTTCTTCTCCTGGTTTCTGGTCCCATCGACTCATTTCCTGCTGGATTCCAGCCGACTGACTCACATGAGGGGAAATCAGTTCAGCTGGAGTGGGTTGTGTTTCACATCGTCTTTACAGTTCAGTTTTTACAGTTCAGTTTAAACAGTTCAGTTTTACAGTGCTTGGTTAGCCGTTTAGCTGAAGCTGTTCCTCCATGCAGAAGCTAACTTCTTCTCTATGTTGATGGTATTTTAGTTCCATCAAACACAAACTCTGCTCTGAAGTTAAGCTAGCAGATTAGCAACGGTCCGTTTCCAGTCACTGATACACTGGGAAACAGGAGCGGCGACCTCTGGGAAGGTCATGAAGGGGGATCGTACCGACGCCTTCTGGCCTGGGACCGGGGGGTGAAGCAGGAAGACGGTAGAAAGACGGACAGGAAGTAGAAATATTCTCTGTCCTTGGTTCTGCTGGGTTTTCCTTTCCCATCCAGATATGAGCTCAGCCCTCAGAAAGAGGCAGGAGAACCATCAACCCCCCACAGACACCCTGACCCCCTGCTGGTTCAGGTACTGAATCAGTTCCTCCATGATTGAATCACCTAAAGGTTCTAGTTCTCCTGTCAGAGAACTTGATCTACAGTTTTATCTCCAGCAGCTTTCAGGATGAAGGTCCAGAGGACTACAGCTCCCATCATGCACCTGGTTTCATAAGCTGTACATGCGTGTTGCTGCTGCTCACATAATGCAGCGGTGACCCAATAATAATTTTGCTTAATCTCCTACTTCACCACGCAGACACTCAGTCTGCGCCAGTGAAGGTTCACTCACCTCAGGATGCTAAACTCTCAGGATGACCGAGCTTCTGATTATTTCAGCTAGTAGTGTAATTACTCAGCCATCTGGGGGCGCTCTACAGAGGACTGAGGCTTCATCAGCAGAAGGTTCTGATGGAAATAAACCAGATTATGATGTCACAGGAACCGTGACATCATAATAAACCAGATTATGATGTCAGAGGAACCGTGACATCATAATAAACCAGATTATGTCACAGGAAACGTTTTTCACTCACCGTAGGACACACCCTCATCCCAACACACACCACAGAGAGAACATGATAAATGGCCCATTCCAAGGCCAGTAAGAAGAGACGATGTGACAGGAGCCTGGATTAAAACGTCTTTATTTGACACATGAACAGGAACCAACTGGAAAGAGGGAGAAGCTGGTCAAACTGGGACGTAAGTGTCCCGCTGATGAAGGACAAAGGAGCATTCAGGACCAGCTCACTCTGCTCGGCCAGCAGGGGGCAGCAGGCTCAGCTGCGCTGGCTGTGTCTCTGGCAGATGTAGCGCAGCCTGGTGGAGCAGTGCAGGTCGTTCAGCCGCCCGTCGTTGTGAATGTGAGCGCAGTCCTCATCTCCAGGCCCCAGGCCGTGACCGGTCCAACTGTCGGGCTGGCCGGGTTTCCATCGCCTGGATGAGACAGGAGACACGGTACCAGATCTACGTTCGGCTGGTCAAGATCCGGTAGTTAACGGTGATCCTCCGTAACCATCAGACCTTCTGAAGGTCCATCCAGCTGGACCCTCCTGACCTTTCAGCATTTAGTCTGAAGCCACTTCCTGTTGCACCGACCAACACCTTAAAGAACCTGTTAAACTGGATCTTTAGCCTCGTTGGTACCAGCAGCCATTTTGGCTCTAAATACGGTAGTTTGTGGAGCTGCTACTTTTCACAATGATCAAATGTGGGTCATGTTAGCGGCTTGGCCTCCGGATGAAACGCAGACGTGGTTCTTCTGCTGTTAGTTTTCACATTGATCTTTTTTTGCAGACGGATTATAATTAGTGAATAAATCCAGGTGGGTGATTTTTCTAACTTTGGCGTTTTGCGTCTCGCTCTCTGGGAGCTGACGGAACCTTGGACCGGTTCTGGTACCGGAGGGAATGTTTAAGATGGTGGGGCCTTATGTTCAGTCTAGGTTCATAACAGGCAGGGGCAGAACTTTCTGAGGGCGAACGCGGCGCCCCCTCCTGGCCCAGGTTAGTACAGCTCTCCCTTATTCAGTGTTAAAACTGACGGTCCAGTTTCACAGAAATATGAAAAACACTGATACATATTTATACCACATTAAACTTTATTTTTGTTTGTGATTCAGATGATCGCCTGCTATAATATGTAACATAATAAAAGTCCATAATAGATTTACTGTATTTTAAGTGCATGAATGAGGGAGAGCTGTATGGCCATACTAACCTGGGCCAGCAGGGGGCGCCGATGTGTTCGTAGAAACCTCAGAAAGTAAGTAGTTGTTCCTCTGCCTCCCGCCACGACCAGTCAGTTGCCTGAATACATCCTGTTGGATTTATTAGGGCAGCTACTATCCTGCACATTGTTTTGGCGCCCCCTGCAGTGCAGCGCCCCCTGCATACCCTCTCTCTGCGCCAGTGAGTGGAGGTCCAGGTGATGCTGGACTCCAGGTTGTACCTGCGGTTCATGACGTACGGCGTCTGGTTGACCCACTCCCACCTCCCGGACTTCTCGTCCGTCAGACCGACCCAGTAGAACGACCCGGCAGAGAGACGGGTCACAAAGTCCTGGACCAACCAGAGACGCATTCAGAAACGGCTCCACACTTTGTCCTCAGGAGGTCCAAACTGTGGACAGGTTGTCTCACCCATTCTTCATCACTCATCAGGATGACCAGGTGAGACTCGTGTCCGTTACACCAGTCTCTGGCCTCGTGCCACGAGAGAGCCGACCTGCTGAACAGGTAACAGCTGGACCCGAAGGTCTCCCAGCCCAGAGGACAGCAGCCGTCAGAGACGGAGACAGAACCTGGACAGTGAGCAGATGAGGACATTCCAGAGGACGCTATGAGGACAGACGCCATCAGAGTGTACTGGTTTCCCAGTGGGACTGAAGGACAGACTGGGACTGTCCCAGTCTGTCCAGTTGGACTGACCGTTGTTCATGAAGCGCTCCAGGGAACATTTCAGCTTGGCCACCGTCCTGCCGATGGTGTCCAGGGTGGACAGCTGCTTCAGACCTTCAGACACTGGGGACGGGGTCAGAGGTCAGGGGTCAGCAGGTGTTTCCAGGTGTTTGGATCTGAGTCTGGGGTTACCTGAGGTCAGCTGCTCCTTGTTGCTCTCCACAGAGAACTTGAGCCTCTGAGCGTCTTTAGCTGCGTCTGCGATGGACAGCAGAGTCAGGAGGACAGAGACGGGTCAAGATTACCTGGACAGGTGTGTTACCTTTAGCGAGCCGCTGGACCGACATCAGCCACTCCGTCTGATTGGACAACGCTTTCTCCACGGACCAGAGCCGACTCAGCGTGCTGGTGTCTGCAGACAGTCATGAGGAACCTCAGAACCATGGAGGAGGCGGAGCTACAAGGAGGAGGCGGAGCTACAAGGAGGAGGCGGGGCTACAAGGAGGAGGCGGAGCTACAAGGAGGAGGCGGAGCTACAAGACCTGCAGCTGCTTCTACCCGCCAGGTGTTCCTCCGCCCTCATTGGCTCTACCTGCCAGGAGTCAACACCTGACTGATGGTTGCTAAGTTCTCAGAGAGATCAGGTTATCTGACCATCTGTCCGTCCCTCTCTAGTTGTAGCCTAGCCTTCTCTGCTGCTAGCTTCTCGTTAGCCTTACTGAAACCTTCCGGACCTTCAGGTCCGACCGTATGAGGACAGGTGTGGAGGACAGTCTCTGCCTCCTCACCTGTTCTGGACTCTGGTCCAATAAAAGTGTCTGAGGTCAAAGCTGCTGAGCTTTAGAAGCTAAAAGTTGGACCATAAACCAGATGATGATTCCTCCAGAAGCAGAGGACGTTCTGCCTCACCGTCTCCTGGACGCACTGGGAGGACCAGACGTCCACCAGGACATGAGGACGTACTCACTGGTGATTCCAACCGCCATGATGAAAATCAGGACGAAGGCGGCGCCCAGACCGGGGTACAGCCAGCGCCTGACCCTGGAGACCGCCGAGAAGGAGACGGGCCGCGGCTCTGATGGACAGAGGGACAGGTTAGGTAGCTGTGGACCCGGTCTGGACCCGGTTCCGGCCCGGTCCAGACTCTGCAGCAGTACCTTTGTTCCAGAACGAGCTGCTGTCGTCCTCAACGTCGTCGTGGTACTCGGTCGTCATGGTGTCTGTCCTCGTTTTCGTCTCTGTCCAACGCTGAGCTGCAGGTCAATGGCCACAGAGGCCCCAGAGCGCACTTTGGACTGGAAAACACCGCTGTGTGTGTGTTTGTGTGTGTGTGTGTTTGTGTGTGTGTGTGGTGAAACATCAGAGGCTGCTGGGAAAACTGACTAAACACAAACATAGAAGAAGGAGGAGACTGAGAGGAGCTGAAGTTTCCAGATGTTCCTTTAATGCCACATCATCATCATCATCATCATCATCAGGTGTCTGAGTCTCTAACGGGTCCGCTCTGCCTTCAGGGCGGCGGGTTGTGGGCGGAGCCTGTGTCCAGGTGTCTTCAGGCGTTTATGCTGGGTCTCTGGCAGATGAAGCGAAGGCCGGTGCTGCAGTGGACGTCGTTAAGGCGCCCGCTTCTATGGAGATGAGCGCAGTCTTCATCTCCAGGACCCATACCGTGACCGGTCCAGGCGTCGGGCTGGCCGGGAACCCACCGCCTGGAGACACACAGAGACACACAGAGACACACAGCTCGGTCAGACAGAGACGGTGGCTGGAGGACAGACGTCCAGGTGTCCAGGCGTCCAGGCGTCCAGGTGTCCAGGCCTACCTGCGCTCTATGGTATAAGGGGTCTGGTTCACCCACTCCCACCTCCCAGTCCTCCCATCAGTCAAGCCGACCCAGTACAAGAGAGGAACCGACTTCTTGGTCACAAAGTCCTGCACAGAGCAGAGAGCAGACATGATGGACGCCAACAAGATGGCGGACACACAGGAGACGAGATGCATAGAGACACGTCTACCCCGAGGTTCAGAGGGGACAGGTTGGACCCCAGGTTGGACCCCAGGTTGGACCCCAGGTTGGACCCCTGGCTCCTGGCAGGGATAACTGGTGGACATCAGGTGCTGTGAACATGTGATAACGACTTCTGGCCTGTGGGCTCCAGGGCCCCAGGGGTCTGGAAGGGCCCCAGGGGTCTGGAAGGGCCCCAGGGGTCTGGAAGGTTCCCGGCTCGTCATGAAACCGGACCGGGACGTTTGACACGCTATAAACCTCGGCTACTGGCTTCATCCATGCTGAGCTACAACATGGCGCTTCGGCTGAGCAGAGCTAGCTAGCATGCTAGCATGCTGCCTCCACTGAGCTCATCCTCCACTAAGTTTTCTCACCCACTCCTGGTCGCTGTGCAGGATCACCAGGTGAGCCCTCTTCCTCTCACACCAGCTCCGGGACTGGTTCCAGTTCAGCTGCTGCTGGCTGAAGAAGTAGCAGTCCGATCCGAACCGGGTCCAGTCCGGGGGACAGCACGGTCCCGTTGATGAGCCTGGGACACAGAGAGACATGAGGACAGAGACGGGACAGAGGACAGATCTCTCTGAGGGGCCGTACCGTTGCTGACGATCTGCTCCAGGGAGCATTTCAGCCCGTCCACGGTCCGGCTGAGAGAGTCCAGAACCGCCAGCTGCTGCAGGGCTGCAGACACTGGACACACACAGAGGTTCTGGTCGGGTTCTATTGCGGTTCTCTTGGGTTCTATTGGGTTATGGTGAGGTTTTGGTCAGGTTCTGGTGAGGTTTTGGTCAGGTACTAGTGAGGGTCTGGTCAGGTTCTGGTCGGGTTCTGGTGAGGTTCTGTTCGGGCTCAGGTTGGGTTCTGATCGGGTTCTGGACACTGACCTGAGGCCAGCCGGTCCTTGTTCTCCTGAATGGACCACTGCAGGTGGTGAAGGTCTTTAATGGACTCTGGAAGACAAAACATTCAGAATCTCAGTCGGCTTAACGGAACCAGAACCAGAACCAGACATTCAACCACTTCCTGATCTGTTATAGGATTGTGTTTTTATTGTGAAAGGCCAGCAGTGATGGCGGAGCTTCCTGTACCGTAACTCTGTTGCAGCGATGCATTCAGGGACTCCATCCTGTCGGCCAGGATGGACATGTCCTCCTCTGCAGTCCACAGCCGGCTGGACGTCTTAGTGTCTGGACACACACACACACACACACACATACACACACACACACACACACAGACACACACACTGTTTCTCTATCTTTCATGTACTTTTTTCTATGGTTTACTCCTGACCTTTGACCCTAGACCTTAACTCAATTCACACCTTTACTGTGTTGCAGTTGTACCTGGAACTGGGAAATTCTCACTTCCCAGTGGAAAAATCTGATTTCCCACTGGGAAACTGGGAGCAGCTCCGACTTTGTTACGATTTGTAAGGCCGACTTTGCATTTCAATATGGCCGCTCCTCATATCGGCAGCAGGAAGCTGTGGAGGAACCATGTTGTTTTCACAGGAAGTACGTGTCTGACATCAGTGCTGTGCGCAGCGCAGGCTGCTGCTTCAGGTGAACAACGTTCACCTGTCTGTTCCTGTGAACAACGCTTACTCAGCCGTCGCCATGTTGAAGATCCAACCGGGTCCTGCTGTGGAAAATGTCCTCACATTGTTGGTTGTTGGTCAAGAGGAAGTCCTCACAACGACAGCAAGACAAACACGCAGCAAGACAAACCGGACTGTAACAGAACCAACAAGTTCTGATCCGGCAGGAAGCCACACCGTCCAACGGCTGAACACCAGGAAGGACCGTTGGGTCTGGTTCCTCCTGGTCCAACGTGTGTGTGTGTGTGTGTGTGTGTGTGTGTGTGTGTGTGTGTGTGTGTGTGTGTGTGTGTGGGTACCTACTGGTGACTCCCAGAACCAGGATGAGGACGAACACCACGGCAACCATCAGAGCAGGAAACAACCAGCGCCTGAACCTGAAGAGGCCGGAGACAGAGCCAGGAGGACTCTCTGGGACGAGGACGGGGACAGACAGGAGGACAGGCAGGTCATTGGAGGCAGGAAGAGCAGAAACCATCCTCCACCCTCTCTGACCCCCTCTGACCTTTGACCCATAGGGTGCAGGTGTCCATGTCCTTGTCCCTGAAGCTGTTGAACATGGTGGAGACGCTCTTCTGTCTGCTGTCTTCAGTTTTTAGAGCTGCATTGGCAGAACAAGCAGAGCATTAGAGCAGGAGGACAGGAGGACAGGACCGGCGCCTCCTGCTGGTGTCTCACCTGTTGAACACCTGGAGATGAGCGAGAAGAAGCGTGTCTACGGTCCGTCTCTGGAGGAATCCAACCGGCCGAGTCCAGAACCTCCTGCGGCTTCTCCTCCTCCCGGCAGGAACCGTCTGCTCAGCACTTTGTGGTTTTGTAACGTCTCTGTTTTTCTCCCTCTTTCTTCCTTTCTCTCTCTCGCCCGCTGTGCGGTCAGAGTTTCTCCTTCCACAGAATCTCTGTTTCTCGTTTTCAGCAGAACAGATTGCAGAGGAAGGAAGCTTCTGCAGGCATTGCTTCCCTAAACCCGCCGGAGGTTCTGCAGAGACACGCCCTGACCTCTGACCTCTGGCTCAGCTTCCTGATCTGGAGAAGCCAGGCCTGGAGACAGAGGGGGCCATGAGGGGCCCGGACCCCCAGCATGTTTTAATCCCTCAGATCAGCTTTATGTTCACTTCATGTTTTCACACAGATACCAGGTGAAGTTCTGCTGCCAATGTGAATTTATTTAACTTTACTAATTATTTATGTTTTTTACAGCTGTTGATTTACATGTCTAAAGGTTTTGGGTTTTACTTTGTAGTGATTTCAGGTTTTACACATCTGGTTACATTTTTAAAAAGATATTAAACTTGTTTAATATCAGTGTTTGTCTGCTGATGTTGCCTCCACAGAAATTGTCACATTTTATCTCCACTCTGTCTCAAAATGCTGATTAAAGCATTTTGTTAGTTCGTTGTTCCTGCACTGCAAAAACACAAAATCTTACCAAGTGTTGAGTTTAGTTTCTAGTGTGAATATCTGAGCACATTTGAAATACGACAAAACTAACTTCCAAGTAAGTCTTCAGTAGATGTAATTGATTTTAAGTCAGTTATTCTTTAATTATTTCACTTATAACTTGGAAAACTCTTATCAGTGAAAAAATGGAGGTTATTTATAAGTTAGTTTTGTTTTATTCTAAGTGTACTGAGATATTTGCAAAAGCTTTTCATTTTGTGTTTTTGCAGTGCATTAGGCTAACATTAACGCCGTGATGTTAGCTAATCATAGATGATGCTAACGGTAGCAGGATGCTAACGGTAGCAGGAAGCTGCACGGTGTGAGGCGTGATGCAGCATCTGGTGTGAACACGCTGGTCTGGGGCCAGATTAAAATCTGCCTGGAGGCATTCAGGTTCAGATCACAGGACCTGTCAGCAGGTTTAATGTGATGTCACAGCGATGACGTCACCCCTCGGTGAGGTCGTCGTTGAAGTAGAGCAGGATGGCGGGGACGAAGAGGTCGCGGTCCATCCTGAGCTGCTCCAGCTCCAGGTCGTCGTCCATGACGCCGTTGTCGCTCAGCGTCTTCTGCATGTCCAGGACGACTCCGTGGTACTTCCAGGTGTAGCTGTTGGCGTGGGCGTTGTGGTGCAGGTAGCGCTGCAGGATCTCCTCCAGGGTCTCCTCCGAGCACACCTGAGGAGGGCAGGCCGCCTGAGCTTCACTTCGTTACCCAGAATGCACTGTGAGCTTCACTACGTTACCCAGAATGCACTGTGAGCTTCACTACGTTACCCAGAATGCACTGTGAGCTTCACTACGTTACCCAGAATGCACTGTGAGCTTCACAGGACAGACTCCATTACCCATAGTGCACCAGGCCTCTCTCACCTCCAGCAGCTGCTCCTGTGACGTCAGCGTGTTGACGACGCGGATCCAGCGCGTCTTGGCTGACAGCAGCCCCACCTCGTAGCGGCGGTCCTTCCACCAGGGCTGGCCCAGGTCCGTGTTCCAGTCGGAGCGCGGCCCGCTGGGCGGCGTGTGCACGAAGCGCCCCCTGGGGGTGTAGTACCGCTCGCAGCACGTCACAGGGTCCACAAACCTCAGGATCTGGAAAAACCAGGAACAGCTCAGCTCCCAGCAGGGTCAAAGGTCACTGCTGAAATACATCCATGATGGAAGCTAAACCAGCGACTTCAGCTGGTTTCACTGAAGGTATCAGAGTAAAGGGGCTGGACAGATTAAAACTCACATCTCTGGTCTTTGGGTCGAACCAGCTGCTGATGTCCTTCCCAGCACACTCCATGATGGGCAGCAGCAGCACGTCACCTGCAGAGAGGAACACCGCCAAGGTCAGCCGAGGTCAACCAAGGTCAGCCGAGGTCATCCAAGGTCATCCAAGGTAACCAAGGTCCGTGGGTCAGATGGTCGACAAAACTAAATATATCAACATCATACCTCCTCATAATTACAATATATTCCATCTGTAGAAAATCTGTATTTTCTCTTCTTTCTTATGCACTTCTTGTTACTGTGCACTATTTTATTTTTATATTTGTATCATGTTCGAATAAAATTTCATTTCATTTCAAATTTCATTTCATTTCATTTCATTTCATTTCATTTCATTTCATCTGTTGACATGTCAACAACAAATTTAAGTTATGGATTCCTTTAAGAAGAATAAATATATCCATACACCACAGGAGCAGAAATATAAATAAAACAGAATTATTAATTCAACTACATGGAGAGAGGTTTCAACCAGAACCCCCATCCAACACCTGCAGCCGGAACTCACCTGAGTGCTGCTTCATCAGCGGGGTCAGGTCGCACACTTTGCCCAGGAAGGACACCCACAGGTCGCCCGACGTGAAGTGAGAGGCCACCTCCGCGGGGGTGAAGTACCGGGGCCGTTTCTTCATCTGCACCGGCTCAAACCGGACCAAACACGGATAAACTGGGATAAAATGCGGGGTTCGGGCTCAGTTACACTGTCAGGAAGAAGTTTTCGCTTTCTACAGGTTTGTCGGTAGTTGCGTTGCCATGACAACAGGAGGTGCGGAGGTTAATACTCGGTTTGTTTACCTTCCTGGCTGCAAACCGAGGGGGCTGATGGGAGTTGTAGTGAAACATCGGAACCCACCAAAATTAAAGAATATGTCATTGATCCCAAAGGGAAATTAAATGTTGTTGCAATTCGTATTAATTCAAAATTCTTAGTTTTTGTACATAATGATGCCTGTTTCCCCTCTCACTTCTTTGTTTTATTTATAAAATCTATTAAAAGTTCATTAATTTCAAGAGGTATTTCTGATAAACTGATTTCTGGTTTTTCATTAACTGTAAGCCAGAATCATCTCAAACAGAAATATACACTATGAATAATAATCGATCGATGTTGCTCTATGTACCGGTGTTTTACGGTCTCATTTTAATCCCCTCTCTCCGTGTCTCTCTTTCCGTGGAATGTCACACACGTGGCACAGATTCAGATCTTTTTCACGAAGTTTCTCCAGTTGGACAAATCTGAACAAAACGCCTCTCTCCCACCGATTCCATCTGTCGGCCGCTGATTGGCGCAGCTCCATGTCACTCAACCATTCTGGGCTGCTGATTGGCTGAATCCTGAGATCTGCTTTCCACTGCGGTCTGTGTTGATGTTGGGACATCTCGTTGCTGAGGCATCGCGATATTTGGACCATAGGCAGCTGAAGGAGTCTGAGAGAAGAAGCGGATAAACTAACGGTTCTGTTCTGCCGAACCGAGCGGGTTCTAACCGGGTCACAAAGCGGAAAACATGGCGTCCTATCGGCTCCTTTGGCTCACTGCTGTCTGCTTCCTCAGCTCCGCGTGGGCCGAACAGCGGAAGCTCTCGCCAGGTAAGGCCGCCCCACAGGCTCCTCGAGTCGGCCAGCAGGAGAACGGTGAGCCGCTGGAGCTCCGGAGCCGCAGTCTGGATGGAAAAGATAAACTCCGGGTGAAACTGTCAAAAATGAGAATATTATTAATAAATCAGACCTAAACTGTTAAATCAGCAGGAAAGTGAGGGGGAAACACGTTAAGTAAAGGATTTATTCAAAACTGAATAAAAATGGAGACATTTTATGATCAGGATGTAGAACCTGGAAAGTTCTGGTTTTAGGATGAATGACGGTTCTTCAGAACCATTCTGGACCTTTTCAGAACCGTCCTGGTTCACATGCAGCCAGTTAACACTGCTGGTCTATTTAGTATTTCATTTAAATTTATTACATTAATTTTCATTTGCTTCTGGGTGTTTAAAACTTCATCACTAAAACTGTTATAAAGATCTTTAACAGTTCAGTTAAATATTGCATTGATGATTGATAAAATGGATTATTGGTGCAGACTGTTACCATGGCAACCCATAAACGTGGACGATTCAGAGATGAAATGTTTCTTCTTCTGTGGTTTTCAATCGGAGAGTCTCTTCTTCTGAAGTGAATCATGTTTTGGTTTTTTAACAGATTATTATTATTATTATTATTATTATTATTATTATCATCCAGGTGAATGAACCCAGGAGTAGAAATAGAACTGCATGAGTTATTGATGCCCAGCTGCTGAGCAGGGGTCCATCTGGTTCTGGTTCTGGTTCTACTGGTTCCCATCCGACCTGGAGGACAGTAGAGGAGCTGATTCTGGGTCCGATCAGCCTTCCTCCTCCTCCTCCTCCTCCTCCTCCTCTTCCTCTGCAGGTTTCTGGTTTCAGACATTCAGAGCAGAGGAACCGGAGCTGCAGGACAACCAGCAGGTTTTATTCACCTTCCTCTTCCTCCTCTTCCTCCCTGGAGGCTCCGCTGACACCTGCAGGAGGAAGTTGAGCCGTTCCTGAAGTTCAGAAGTATTCATACCCCCTGAGTTTCCTGAGTCTGAACCTGAATCCTCAGATGTGTCGCCTCCTAACACACTGTCCCTACTGGAGACATGGTGGTGGTTGGACTGATCAATAACTATCAATACTGACCGATATGAAACGCTGATATAAGTTCCTCCTCTTTGATTGTCCAGCCAGATGTTCAGGTCAGAGGTCATGTGACAAATGTGAAAAGTCTGAGCAGAAGGTCAGGGATCAGCTCCAGGTGTGGGCGGGGCCTCCAGCAGCCAATGAGAATAGAGGATCAGCTCCAGCAGCCAATCAGAGTGGAGGATCAGCTCTAGATCTGCAGCATCCAGACTGACTCTTTGTTTGTCTCTGGTGTAGAAAATCTGCTGGTCATTACCGCGGCAACGGAGGAGACGGACGGCTTCAGGCGCTTCGTGAAGACGGCGGCGCAGTTCAACTACAGCCTGAAGGTGAGACCAGAACCAGAACTCTGGGTCTGGGCCGGCTAACCCCCGCTGACCTCTGACCTAACACCAGTTTGTGTGCCTAACACTAAGCACATAAAGTCCCTCCACTGGCTCCCTGTAGCTCAGAGGATAGACTTTAAAATACTGTTGTTAGTTTATAAATCACTGAACGGTTTAGCACCACAATACATTAAAGATCTGTTATTGCTGTACCAACCGTCTAGACCCCTCAGATCTTCTGTTTCTGGTTCTGCTCTGCATCCAGAACCAGAACCAAACCAGGAGAAGCAGCATTCAGTTTCTATGCACCACAGATTTGGAACAAACTGCCAGAAAACTGTAAAACAGCTGAAACACTGAGAGCCTTTAAATCTCAACTTAAAACCCACCTGGTTAGAGTTGATTTGAAACGTAATCAATTATGAATTTAACATCTTAATGTGTTTTGATTGTTGCTTCTATGTTGCATGGCTCTGTGTTCTTGTGTTTTTATGACGTACTGCATTTTCCGCACTATAAGGCGCATAGAATAGACGCTACAGTAGAGGCTGGAGTTACGTTATGCATCCACTAGATGGAGCTGCACTAAAGGGAATATCAACAAAACAGTCCGACTCCGGTCAGCAAGACGAGCCTTCTGACCGGGGCTGGGCGATGGTCACCCTCCTCCGTTTGCACACAGCTTGTTGGTGGAGAACGTGGTGCTAAATGACCGTCAGGTTCCTGGTCAGTCAAACTTTATTAACAAACCAGCGTTCTGACAACTATCCCAGCATGCACCGCGCGCTTCTTCTTCTACGGGCGAAAATAAAGTCGGTGTCTGCTTACTGTAGTTGCTAGACCTGCTGTGGCTCAATATTGGTCCATATATAAGGACCGGATTATAAGGCTTTTGAGGAAATTGAAGGTTTTTAGGTGAGACTTATAGTGCGGAAAATACGGTCACGAAGGAATCAGGATTTGCGTCGATTTATTTCTGTTTAAAACAAAAACATGTTCAGCAGCAGCTCCTGGCTGCAGTTTCCTCACACAGACCTTAACCAACCAAAGGACAAAAAAATAATAAAATAACCATGTTGGCTCAGTAAACTGGATCACTGTCACCAACGTGGGAATTAAATACCCAGAACAGTTTTGTGCTAAACATCAAAAAGGTAAACAACTGTTTACAACTTATGAGTTGAGCAGCATACTTCTTTACATTTTGAATATTTTAATGTTTAAACAGAAGACGGCTCTGTGGGATTACCTCTACCCACAGCAGCTCGGGCAGCGGGAACACAGGATGTGACACAGAAACAGGAAGCAAGAAAATAAAAGCTTCTCCACCAAAATAAAATAGAATTCAAAAACCAAGAAAAAACAAATATACATAGATAATGAGGATGGGTTTGGGGCCACATTGGGATCCAAACATAAAAACAGTATAAAACAGAAATAACCAACTGCAGTGCAAAGGCGACAAACATGTAAATTCAACAAAAAGGTGTTTTCAGAAGGTTCATCAGAAAAAATAAAAGAAGTAAAATTAACTACATAAAGTTCTTTGAAATGCCTTGCTGCTGAAATGTGCCACACAAATCAGATTTGGTTGGTTGATTGACCTCTGACCTCTGGCAGGTGCTGGGTCTGGGGGAGGAGTGGAAGGGCGGAGACGTGGCCCGGACGGTGGGCGGAGGTCAAAAGGTCAGGTGGCTGAAGGAGGAGCTGCTGAAGCACTCGGAGGACCAGCAGCTGGTCGTCATGTTCGTGGACAGGTAGCCTTCATCGTGCTCTTCCTCTCCCTCTCTGTGCAGGGGGCGGAGCTCCGCCTGAAGCTCTGATCAGGTCAGATTATCATAAAGAGCAGAAATGTCTTTTATTTCCTGACTCATCCTGAGGCTTGGCCCCGCCCACTGCAGCCACAGCAGCCAATCAGAGAGCAGAGCATCATTTCCTGTTGAGGTTTCTGGGATCAGTTTGACATCATCATGTTTGTTATTTATTGATAACAGGGGGCGGGGCTTAATGCTCTGATCATTCTCACTGTGGGACATGGCAGTGGCAGCATCATGCTGCGGGCATCAGAAGAGCTGAGACTGGGGTTGCCATGGCAACCAGCCTCAGCCTGTAGCCAGAGGCATTATGGGATGGCAGCGACTCGTTAAATACAAAAATATTTAATATTTATTGAGAGACAAATAATTATATTTAATTAGTTTAATTATAACCCTAATATATGGATGGAGTCGGTTCTGTCTAACCGGACCTCCTAACCGGGCCTCTGCTCCGTCTCTGCAGCTACGATGTCATCCTGGCGGCCGGTCCAGATGAGCTTCTGACCCGGTTCTCCTCTCTGGGTCACCGGGTCGTTTTCTCTGCTGAGGGGTTCTGCTGGCCCGACCAGCGCCTGGCCTCCAAGTACCCCCAGGTGCATTCTGGGAAGCGCTACCTGAACTCTGGAGGTGAGGTTCTTCTGTCCTGTGGTTCTGGTCCCGGTCCACTGACCTGCGGTTCTGTGGTTCTGTGGTTCTGGTCCCGGTCCACTGACCTGCGGTTCTGTGGTTCTGGTCCCGGTCCACTGACCTGCGGTTCTGTGGTTCTGGTTCTGGTCCCGGTCCACTGACCTGCGGTTCTGTCCAGGTTTCATCGGGTTCTCCTCGGACCTGGCCGCCATCGTCCAGCAGTGGAAGTTCAGGGACAACGACGACGACCAGCTGTTCTACACCCGGATCTACCTGGACCAGAAGCAGAGGGTAACCGGGTCAGAACCGGGTCGGGAGGCGGGAGCGGCCGGACAGAACCCGACTGATGTTGTGCTGTGTTTCAGACCCGGTTCAACATGACTCTGGACCACCGATCCAGGATCTTCCAGAACCTCAATGGAGCCATCGGTGAGTCTCTGGACCGGTTCTGGGCCCGTCCAGACTGGACCTCAGTGGTTCTGGTGGAGAGTCATCGGGCCTGGAACCTGGTTCTGACCCGGTTCTCTCTCCAGACGAGGTTGTCCTGAAGTTTGAGAGGTCAAAGGTCAGAGTGAGGAACGTGGCCTACGACACGCTTCCTGTGGTCATCCACGGCAACGGACCCACCAAGGTAACGGCCAATCAGAGGCCTCCGCTCGCCCCATGTGACAGCAACAGGAAGTGCAGCTGGTGTACGTTCAGTTGCCATAGCAACACCTGTCTCCGTCCTCAGCTGCAGCTCAACTACCTGGGAAACTACGTCCCAACGGCCTGGACCTACGAACATGGCTGTGGAGGCTGCGACGACGACCTGCTGTTGCTAGGCGACCGCCAGGTAAGGGGCGGGGGGAGGGGCTATGGGGGGATGAGAGCCAGTCTGACCGGTATGTCTCCCCCCCACCTCTACGTCTACCCCCCTCCCTCCAGGAGGAAGACCTCCCTCTGGTCTTCCTCTCCGTCTTCATCGAACATCCGACTCCCTTCATGGACGAGTTCCTGGAGCGTCTGGCCACCATGAACTACCCTAAAACTCGGATCCGCCTCTTCATCCACAACAACGTACGACCCACTGGACCCGGCTCCGGACCCGGTTCTGGTTCTGGTTCTGACCCGTCCTGTCCTGCAGGTGGTGTACCATGAACAACACATCCAGCGGTTCTGGGAGCGCCACAGGGTTCTGTTCCCGGACGCGGTGCTGGTCGGACCCGAGGAGAACCTGCCAGAGGAGAAGGCCAGAACCATGGCGATGTGAGTCCAAAACCGAGTCCGGACCGGTTCTGATTCTGGGCGGCTCTAACCCCCCCTGTGTGTGCAGCGAGGCGTGCCAGAAGAACCCGGGCTGTGGTTACTTCTTCAGCATCGACTCGGACGTGGCGCTGACCAACCCGGACACGCTCCGGATCCTCATAGAGGAGAACAAGTAGGTTCTGGTCCGGCCCGGTTCTGTCTGGGTCCGGGCCGCTCTAACCGGGCCTCCGTGTTCTGCTCCAGGTCCGTCATCGCCCCCATGCTGTCCAAACACGGCAAACTGTGGAGTAACTTCTGGGGCGCTCTGAGTCCGGACGGGTTCTACTCGCGCTCCGAGGATTACATCGAGATCGTCCAGGGCAAGAGGGTGTAAGTCCTGCTGCTGTCGCCACGGTAACGGACCGGACCTCACCGCTGGGAGGTTCTGGTCAGCAGGTCTGGATCATACGGTCAGGTTCTGATGGTCCTGTCAGAACCAGAGTGGGCGGGGCTTCTGCAGCTGATGATACTGGACAGGAAGTGATGTCAGGTCTAACCTGTGTTTGGACCGGTTCTGTTCTGTCTCTGACCCGGTCTCTGTTCGGACCGGTTCTGTTCGGACCAGTTCTGCTCTCTCTGACCCAGTCTCTGTGTTCGGACCGGTTCTGCTCTGTCTGACCCGGTCTCTGTTTGGACCGGTTCTGTTCGGACCGATTCTGCTCTGTCTGACCCGGTCTCTGTGTTCGGACCGGTTCTGTTCGGACCGGTTCTGCTCTCTCTGACCCGGTCTCTGTGTTCGGACCGGTTCTGCTCTCTCTGACCTGGTCTCTGTTTGGACCGGTTCTGTT